AAAAAAGCCATATGGTGGTGATGACTGTACTGAACAAGGCGTGTACTGTGTGCAGCACAGCTGGTGATTATACGTGTTAACTGTGTCCTGGCTGGAGATCTGTACGCAGGGCGGGGAGAGGAGAGGAGAGAGGGAACGGGAGAGAGAGAGAGAGAGAGAGAGAGAGAGAGAGAGGGGAGCAGAGGGAGACAGACAGCGAGGGGCTGACGTCAGTGTTTCTCCAGCTCCTTGTCCCACATGCATCTTTAAAGAGCAGCTCTGCTTCCTGCTGCTACTGCTGCTGCATGCCAATTACAGGAAGAGACGGTGGGTGACTCACAGGAAGTGCAGACACTGGCGGGCTGTGAGGGCCAATAAAGCACAAGGTACCGTGGCCAGAGGGGATTTCGGGAGGAATGGTTCATTTTCTCTTTTTTACACAGGGATCATGTTTTTTAAGGTTTTCTTGGGGACGTTAAAATAACCAATTGTCATTTTAGAATTTTAGAACCCTTCTCTCTGGACACTGGTGAGAGCAAGTGGAGATTATAAAATTAGGCGACGCTCTCGACAACGTGGAGAAGTCTCTCGGAAAAGTAATTGCTACATGGCCCACAGTGGTCAATTCTGCACTCTGACATGATGTTTCCCCACTTATACTGTGTGCCTTAAACACACCTCTGCCAGTAAATGATTACCAGCTGCATGAGGCCGGAGCGCCACCATTGTGCTGAAATTTCCAGGTTTAAAATGGGGCACACTTGTGTCACTGTGGCATTCAAACCTGGCGCCGCTTTCCTGGCTCCTGCTGACGAGCAGCAACCGGAGAGCCGCCGATCAAAGGCCGGTTTTAGACAACTTCTGTGATCGTTTTTCCTGCATCACCTCTCCCTGACAAGTCTGGCTCATAACTCACGTTTATTCTCCCCCTTTTTTTATCCCACAACTTGAAAAAGGTCAAAACTGGGGAGGAAGTATCCAACAGGGCGGCTGTTTCGGACCAGCCAGAAGGAATTGTCTGAGTGTATTTGTGTTTGCAAGAGCACACAAGCAGTACAGATGACGCCGCTGCTGCAGATGGAGAGGCTTATTTGACGACAACAAGAAAAGTGGAAAAGAAAACTTAAAAGAAAACAGAACATGCAAAACAAAATCAGGAAGTAGTGCAACACAACACAACTACTACTTTTGCAAATGTGGGAGCTCTGAAGAAGTGCATGTTGGGGGTTATTTTGTATGAAATATGATACCCTAGGTGGTAGCCCCTCCACTTTTAAATCTGAAAATGCCCACACGCTGGCTTTCATGCCAGTGCGAGCTCGCCCAGTGCAGCTACGAGCGCGGACCGGGAGGGGCTGGGTGTGGGCTACGACTCAGCTGCAGGTTATTGCGGCTTATTTGGACGGCAGCACTTATTCAGAGCTCCGGGGACTGATGAAAGAAAGCTTTAAAAGGAGCAAACCTGATTGGCTGGTGCTGTTGCTGCGTAGGGGACACTTGTGGCAGGAGTTGTTGCTGCAGAGACAGTAGCAGGCGTAGCACTGTACATCATTGGGACTTTGTTTCGAGGGAAGAACGGAGAGGGGAGGTGGGGAGGGAGGGAGGAATGGGGAAGAGGGGAAGGGGGTGGCAGCAATGGACAGGTAGGTGGAGCATTACGGTAACCATGGCAACAGTTGTGATGCGCGTGTGTCGACGGTATCGTTTGTTGTTGTTGTTGTTGTTGTTGTTGTTGTTGTTGATGGCGGTGGCGGATGTTACAGAGAGCCAGCAAGCCATCGTTAGGGTTACACCGGCAGATGGCATGCAACCATTCACAAGGCAAAGCAAGGAGGACAGAAAGAAAGAAAAAAGAGAGCATGGGAGAAAGAAAATAACAAAAAAAAACAAAGAGGAGAGAAGCTGATTACAATCACAAGTACGGAAATTTATACGGAAAATCAGTTTGCTGTTTTTCCCAGAGAGGTGAACGGGCCACGAGACGCCAAACACAATGAATCAAGTGTATTTTTTGGTAGATGGGAATGATGGGAATTGTATTTGTTTTAATCCCTGTGGGCCGACAAGATGAACTGCAGGAAGATGCCCAGGAGGTTGGAAATGATTCTTAGACCCTGTTCAGACCTGGTATTCGAAATGCTCTTCATATACAGTATAAGGTGTGAACACACTGAGGATGCATTTCAGATCCGATCACCCAGCAGTGTCCTGGGCCAAGGTTTCATAATGATTCTCATACATCGATTTATTTGTGGCCTCAACACTGATGATTTTTAATTGAATTTTCTTTCGTTTCTTTGTAAAGCCGCTCAGCCGCTCCTGGCTCGGCTCTCGCTCTCTCATACCGACACACCATGACACATCTGTACAGTCAGACTGGCTAAAAACAACATCTTTGGTCAATGTGAACAGAAATTAGTGTTTATTTGCATACAGAGCGGAGAAGACATATTCTAATGCCAGGTGTGAAATGACTAACTTAGAACTGCTTACTTGCGATCAGATCAGTCAGGACAGATGTTAATACCAGGCCTGAACAGGGCCTTTGTCATCATATCACCAGTTTTGAATTTTAAACAGGCTGTTTAGCTGACTAACACTTGTTTTAAATTCCCATCCCCCTTTTTTTGCAGAGACAAAAGCTCCAGCCTCGCGTAATTTCTCTGGGAAACTGATATAAATTTCCTGATCAACACAGCACAGCAAACAGACAGTGGCTGTCCTACAGCTGTAGCATTTTCATCTACGGTAACATTTTAATCATACAACAATCAGTCATTAGCAAGAAAGTCAGTAAGGAGACAATAACAACTCTTTCAGGTGACACAAAATTCATTTCGTATCCCAGTGTGAAGAAATGCACGGTTTAAGGACAATTTCCCGAAAAGGTTTCATCACCGCCGCAGGAGGCAGTGAAGCGATGACCTTTTGTCTCACCTGCAAGGGCTGCAGATATTGCCCACTCATCCCACTCCAGCCACCCCCCACCTACATCAAACAATGTGCGTGAGAGAGCAAAGGGAAGGTCGGGACCTACCAAGACTGCTAGCAGGAGTCATGCACAAGACTGACCCTGTTGTGTTCATGCAGAGAAAGACAGAGAGAGAGGGGAGGGGAGAGAGAGAGAGAGAGAGGGAGAGGGAGAGAGAGGAGGAAATAAATGGGTTAATTGAGAGGGAGGATAACAACAAGATTATACAAGACAAAAAAACAAACTCCGCTCAGATGCTATTGTTACAGTGGTGCTCTCAGTCAGTGATGAATACAGTAAACTGCAGCAAGCAGAGAATTCCCTTCATTAGTTACGGCACGAGTGAGACATGAGTTGTTTTCAGGCATGAACTTAGGACAATTTCCAGAGTTTGGCTTTCACACATTGTCTGGGTCAGATGCGTTCACAGCGACGGGAAAATGTCCAGAACGTTCTAGCGAGGGGTGGCGTGTTTTTGTATGACACCAGCATCAGCCCTTATTGCTAAATGCTGACTTCTTTGCTGGCGTCCGTTTTGCATCCGTCCAGCTGACAGGAATAGTTCCAGGACAATACCCGGAGCGACTGACTCGGACATTGGCGTTCTCAGGAAAATGTCTGTAGTTCAGTGCATGTCTGAAGGAAGTAGCAAACAGCTGTTAAAATATATTTCATAAATTTTTATCTTTTTTAAATGCACTGGTATCAGATCAGTACTCGATATTGGCCGATATAAGTCCAGGTCTCGGAATCGGTATCGAGAAGAGAAAATTTACAGTTATTTCTAGAAAATGAGAGCAAGGACTAAATAACAGAGGAAAGGAGACTAAAAGAGGACAGAGCCACACAGCAGCAGCATCATGCAGGGTCAGTACAAAGATGTGCAGACTTCAAACCAGGTTTGAGTCAAATGGGGAGGGGCAGGGTTCATTAACCATTTGGATAAGTTCATCACAAATGCATTACAGTGGCTGTGCATCATGTTAGGCACATTTGTCCCCCCCCTACAATACTAAGAAACCCCACCCAGCTGACACGTCCACACCCAGACACTGAGGAGGGATGAGGGGCAGTCAGACATCACACCACATGGAAACAAAAAGAGCAGGTAGAAAGAGGAGCGAGGGACGGGCATCTCGTCCACATGACTCATGAGTGTGGCTCCCGGCTACCGTATTAGCTGCAGTTAACTCGTTTAGCAGATTACCCGAGGGGACATGAGCTACTGTTACTCCGTGTGTGAGGACTGAGAGAGTGTTTGGTTTGGAGGCACAAAAAACTGGAGAGGAATAAAGGAGCAGACCTGAATTAATTTGAGGAAAATTGCTTTTTTCTTTAAATGGGATTTTCTTCCTCCCCAATATCGATGTCAGTCAAGACAGATTAAATACGAGGTGAAAAGGATGCGTTTGCCAAAAAAATAAAAGGCTCCTTCAAACTGAAGCCTAAACAAAGTTAGTGACTCTAGTTTGATATGACTAGGCTGGTTTTGCAGGTGAACCACATTCAGGTGGTGATATACTATATTCTGTTATTTCTCTCATCAAAGCCTGCACGGCTCGTCCACGTGGCAGCAATTATGTGTTGCACACTAGCATCTCTTTATGTACGTCCCTTTGAAAAGATGTTGATCATGGGAGAATCTTGTTGATTGTGTCTAATGGTGCTATAAAATAACCGGCTGAACTGATGCTGTGACTCATCTTTTTTAATGACCTTGATGATTACACATAATTACAAGGTTGATGAAATATTTTTGATTTGCAAACTTCAGTTTTTTAATTTTTTCTGACAAATATGTCAAAACAAGGCTATTTTTAACTGGTTTTAAATTGTTACTTTGCTATGGGTACTTAAATTTGAATATTGATCCTGAACAATCTGAGATTTTTTGCATCAATTTCCCAGGAAATATTTCATGGATCTTGATGATTAAAATCAGACATATTTAGGGGACCGTTATCTATAAGGGTGCGAAATTTGGTGCAGCTTAATTGAATTTAAGCCTGGCCTTGGCGGAGGGAAGCGCTCTCCCGACTCCCAGTTTGCAAACCACTGTGATAGATAAAGGTTTAGCTCAGCACGTTCAGTGAGTGTGTGCATCTGTGTGTGCTTGGCATATCTATGAGCGCTCATACCTCCATCTGTGTGTGGTGTGTGCTTATTGTGAGCTCTTACCTGTGGGAAAGAAAGCAGGCTGCTGGAGCTGTGCGTTGGCCAGCGCCTGCTGGTAGTGCAAAACACTGGGGTTGAACAGGGAGCTCGCTCCGTTGCTCTTCTCAAGTGCTGGTCTCTTTGGTAGGGGCTGGAGGACGCCGTGCGGGAACGCCTAGCCACCGAAAAACACACACATGACAGAAGCACACAGCCGATTGGAACTGGATACTCACACAAGTCAACACAAATAATTTCTAAATCTGTTATTTGTCTATGCACAGCACAAAAAGGCAAACATGGAAACTTGCTGTAACTATCACAAGGACAATGAGAAACTACACCATAGCAAGACAATCATCAACATTAAAGAAAACTGTGTAATAACTGGAAATATTTTAACATTACATTAAAGTTGTTCATTTAATACATGTAACGTATAGTCTAAAATTGCCACTGGTGATCATAAATTATACTTTAAAGTGTTTTACATGGTTTCACAAAAACAAAAGAGCCAACTTAAATTTTTGTGAGTGGCAACAGTACAATTAAAGAAGCTACATGCAAAGCAAAAGGTGAAAGGTCAAAGTACCAGGTCTACAGTTGCCTCGAGGGGTCGCTTCATTGCTTTGGCAGTCGACTGAGTCTTTAATTAGCAGGCAGCGAGCACATGATGGCAGTGGGCCAATGGGATTCAAGCGTATTAACATACAGGTAACAGCAAGCAGAGGTGCGTCATGGGGGACAGCATTGCATTGTGGATAGGTGAGAAGGAAAAAAACAAAAACAAAAATAATCTGAATGCAAGTATACCACATACAAAACAATAGGCATGCACATAAACAAAAAACTGTTTTGTTTACTTTAAAGAAACATTGCTACTTTTTTTTTGAATTAGTACAACAGCAACAAAGCATCTACATTAACCTCTGGTTAAAAAAAGCAAAGAATCTACGATGTACTTCAAAGCTACTGGGAAAGCATTTAGTAGTAACGTCGACTATTATCTGAACAAGTAAATCAACTTTTACTAACGGCTACGCAGGAACAGAATGTAGTCAACACAAATGATTCAGACTAGAAATACTGGGCTGACACCTTGTAAGAGATCTACAGTCCTACACACAACAATTACAGTTCTGCTGGATTTCTCTGCTTGATGGTGTGAGGTGCGGTTTTTTGGGGTCTGAGAAAATGTCCCACGACCGACTGGGATGTGAGTGAGCCCCTCAAATTATTCACCTCAGCCTGGCAGCAACACCTGGGCACGTTTGTGCGATCAGATTATTACGTCCGAGGCTGTTGAGGTGCACTCACCCCAGTCAAAAAAGTAGTTTAACTATCAGATCTTTCTGTAGTGGTGTCAGTTCATGTGTAGTTAAATCCTGAATCTAAACCTGCGTAGTGTTGCCTGTTAGTGTGAGCGATGAACTTGGGGGATGTGACACAATGTGAGGCTATAGTTCAATCCCACAATGTGGAGCTCTGTTTATTCTTACATTCCTCCTAAAAACGGCAAATAATATTTTAAAATACTAGACGCGATTATTTTACAGAACTAAGTTTAAGTTTACAGGCTTAATGACGTAATAGTAAACAGTTTTATTTCCAGTTATCTCTTCATTTAACTTAAAAACGACCTTAGATGTGATGTCACTGCTGAGAGAGAAAAAAAAGATGATGTGGATGTGATGGTCACAGCAATTGCATGCACAAGCCTCTTGTTTCACGTATGTGCATTTCTTTATGTAGAACAACATATATCCTATTAGAGTGATGCATTATTGATGGTGTTAATGGACTTAAACACTGTGGTTAGTTAAAATGGAGGATGGTCTATTAAAGTGAAATGAAAAGCAAAAAGATGACCGCATTCGCCTTGCAATGAGGAAGGAGGTCACAGCATGGCAAGCAACACAAAATGTGGCACAGTAAAACAACATAATCTCAATAACAGGACACTCTCACTGTAACTGTATCGTTTAATGTGTAAACCTCATCTATGCTGCACTTAACCCTATTTGCCTTAGATTAAAAAAAAGTGAATCATGGATAATGATGTTACCTATTTGCAGCAGTGCAGCAATACAGGTTTTATGGTTCAATAAAAGTTCTCCAGCTTTAGGCTAAGAGCTAAAGGAAAATTGGATTAAAGGCGCTGACTAAACAACTCGCTGTCCCGAGGTTAACCCCTCCTCACCTCCAGCTTGGCTTGTAACTGCTGATGGTAAATTGGGAGCTGGGTCATAAAGTTGATAAACTGGGGAAATGTGAGCTACCCAGGAGGAGCGTGAAGCGCAGGATTCGGAGGAAAACACGCAACATAAACTAGATCTCGGATGATGCATTGTGAACCTGATGAAAAAGCTGTTAAGCTAAGGCGCTGACAGGTAAACATCAGGTTAGAGTGGCTTGGCTCTTCTGTAACCTCCGCCAAGGAGGTTATGGCTTCATCTGTTTGTTTCATCTGTCATTTAGCAGGATTATGCAAAAATTACAGGACGGATGACCACGACACTTGGTGGAAGGATGTGGTATGGGTCACGGAAGAACTCATTACATTTTTTTCCTACCTTTAGGGTGTTTTTTGACATTTTCCCTGATTTCCCAGAGACTAATTCATGGATCTGGATGAAGATAATCTGGCATGTTTAGGAGACTGATATTAATTCAGTCCGTCATTTAAATGTGGTTTCATGAGGGACTGTTGGGCCTTGGTGGAGGTATGCGCTCTCTGAATGCCTTTCTTGTTAGTTAGTTTGTTAGTTAGCAGGATTACGCAAAGAGTACAGAACGGATTATCATGAAACCTGGAAGGATGCGGTATGGGTCGCAGAAGAGCTGATTGGATCCAGGGAGTCATTCAATAATCTTTATGAAGTTAAATCAGGCATATTAAGAGGACTGATATCTATGAGTGTATTCAATTTGGTCCAGCTTTAAGAAGACAGTTGGGCTTTGGCGGAGGTATGCCTTTCTCTTTTATAACTGTTTTAATTTAATTTCTCTTCCTGTTGCAGTGTTGTGCACAAATGAAACTAACCTGCACTTGAGGCCACCTCATCATCCACACTGTGGGCTTATGGAGAAAAGACAGGGAGAGCAAGCAGCAATGGAGCCAGCCAATGAGAGCGTTAGGTGCAACGCGTAAAAGCATGCCCATGCCATGTAGGAAACGAGGGAGCCAGCGCACTGGCGCAGTACAAGGTGTGCGAGTGCAGCAGCAGCCAGGGGACCCAATTGAAAAAAAGGAGCCTGAGGGAGGGCGGGGCGCAGACGAGACACACTGCCAAACACTTCCCGCCACCTGTCGGCCTGCACATCTCCGTCTGTCTGCCTACACCAGTCTGTCTCTCCCTCAGCCTATTGGGGATTTTTTTTTCTCCGACTAAAAGGCAGAGGAGGGCAACATCTCCTCCCTCCTCCTCGCCCGTGATGTTACATCCTCATCCATCCCTGATTCAATTTGCAGTGATCTGCAGAGAGCCGCATTTATCATTGAGAGCAGGGGGGTGGGGGTGGCATGGTTGAGGGGGTGAGCCAGCACATTGTCTCTGTATGAACCAAGGGCATTTGAAAATAGAAAAAGCGTACTGCGGTGAGATAATAACAGATTGTTCTTACAGCATTATACTGATGCGTTTAGGGTCTCACTAAAACCCTGTTTACTGTGTACAAAGGCCTCACTTTAGGATGACTATTCTTAGTGGATTGAACACTGGAGTGCACTCGAATAAACCAGCAGAGATGGGTATGTTTTTTTTACAGAAATAAAGCAGTGCTCCACATTTTATGTTGCTGTGGGTCTCATCGTGAACAGCCTGTTGTTACATTTTGTGAATCCCAAGATGATTTGTCATAATGTAACATGTATTAGTGAATTTTAACTGGTACAAAATCTCTCAAGTAATCGCTATTTGCGTGTCGTAGAAGGTGTTTCATCAGCTAACTGTTACAGTATTCCTGCACATACAAAAATCTCGGATCTCCTGTTTAAACAATCTGTGCTTTATATAAGGTCACGTAGATCCATCAAGGTACAGCAGCTTTGTAGCAGAACGCCTGTGCTAATATGAATTTTATTTATAGTGTGAAAAACACAGAGACATATAGTGTTTACTAGCTTTTCCACTACTGTAAACCTCCAAGAGTAAATTTCTATTTGACGCTCTGTAAAAGCCTCCCATGATTGGAAGGTTCTAGGTAAACTGTATATGTGCTATAAAATGTCCCTATTGTCCCATTCAGACTTTAGAAGCTCTTGCTCTATATGTATGTAAGCAGAAACCTTTGTGAGATTTACTTGCTTACTCGCTTACTGGCTTGAGTACATTGGGTAGGCTGTGTGTGCTGTGCTCTCACCATGGCTGCAGCTGTGGCTGCGGCTTGCGCAGCCACAGCCGTCTGGTTGGCCTGGTGTTGGGCGGCCTTAATCTTGGCCTGCAGGTGGGCCGGGGGGTGGAAGTACTTGCACTTCTCACGAGAGCAGCGGCTCTTGATATAGTCCATGCAGACGGTCACTGTGTTGTCGCTGGTGTCAATCATGGGGCTGTCGCTCGGGTGAGCGAAGCGGCAGTCGGTCTCGCCACGAGCACAGTTGCCCCTCTGGAACTCGCGGCACACCTGAGAGCCGGAGAGTCAGGTGGACATGGACGAACACACACACACACACACACGGATACATGAGCACACAGATGTAAAAAGAGGAAACAGAAATATACAGACAAACAAAAAACTGTGAATGCTTGAGCTTTCAACACATAAGGTCACAATCACAGCATTCATCAGCAGCAAAATATTAGTTCATATCTCCTTTATTTCCAATGCTGCTGTTCATGTTAGTGGAGTAGCATGATCATTCTATAATTCAGAAACAGATCAGAAAACAGATCCACAGCATAGAAAGAGAGATAAAAGTGTTTGGTACACAAGTCAAGACCAAATATCACATAGGTCTAATCATTTCAAGATATTTGAGTGAATTGTTTTATTTAATATCTTTAACACCGTGTAACAAAAACTGTAATATGTAAAACGATTGTGAAATCATGGAAGCAGTCTGCTCAACTGTTCACAGGCCTGAACAAAATCACAGGGGGATCTGCTTTATACCACACACACACACACACACACACACACAGAGGCTCTGTGTGGGAGTGCTTGAGTGTCTCAGAGGGATACTGTTTCATTAGAGCCAACTTCACTCAGTTGCTAAGTGATAGCACTCCCAGAGAAAAACACATACAGACACACCCACACGCATCACCTCCAGGTCTTAGGAAGATTATTGTTTATCTTTATAAATGAAGTGGAGGAGAAAAAAAAAAAAACGCCTCCATGTGTACTTTAACAATCACAGAGCGACTCCCGTTCAAAATAGTTTGCCAAAGGGAGGATAGAAATGGTCAAAGTGCTGGTTCTAGTTTGAGTTGAGTGAAATCAATGTAAACACACGCTATCGATATTTGCCTTAATTATTTCTGTGAGGGATAAAATAATCACATGATAATGCAGAGTAACGAATATCGGGTCATTTTTTCTCCTCTCCGAAAACAAAAACGAAGAGGCACAAATAAAACAGCTGAAAGGGCCTGCAGTCACTTACGCAATAAACTCACCCACCTTGAGAAATTGTCACACAAGGAGTAGCATGATGGGAAATTTTCAGGTTTTTTCAAGCCTGAATTGCTTATTGGGGCTTGTTCCAAGGCAAATTCAAAATGAATGTGTTCGGTCTTTAATTACTTGCTTGTGAAACAAAAGGCTCAAAACACTTATCCTTGTACTTGTCGAAGGCATCTTATATAACAAGTAGTTATACGTGTTATTGGATTTTAAGTAGTTTTCATAATTTCACTTCACAATCTCAAAGAGAACATTAGCTATGATTAGCTGCCATGTTTGTCTTGACTGCGATTAGGTCGGTCACCTCCAGCTTGTCGGTACGCAGCAGTTTCTGGCTGGAGGAGGAGCCACCGGTCACGGAGACGGGCGGGCTGCCGGGGACGATGACTGGGGAGCTGGGCAGGATGTCGGTGGGCACCAGGCCCATGCTGTGGGACATGGGAGTCAGGTAGGGTGTGTAGCTCAAACCGGCGCTGGAGCCCAGGCCCTGGCTGACAGGAAACGTCTGCTGCAGACAGAGAGAAAAGACAAAGAGTATCATGACTGTTCTTAAAAACTTTAGAGATTTCTTTATTGTTTAAGCTATTTAAAAAACTTTTTTTATCAATATAGGAAAACTATAGATGTAGGGAAGAGGAGGGGGGAGTGGAGGGTGAAAGACAGGAAAGAGGGAGAGAAGTTAAAGGAAGGAGACACTAGAAACTTGAAAGAAATGATGGTGCAGCTTTGTGGAGTGGGGAGAAAGATGAGTGGGAGAGAGTGTGACAGGTGGAATGAGAAAAAAGTGGAGAGAGAGAGAGATAATTCAGGGTAGAAACAAGAGAAGAGGATTTTTTTTTTTTTAACCTCTAGGTATCCTGGGAAGGTTTTTGCTGAGCCTGCGTGTTCTTTTTCAGTTACGCCCAGACTTGCGTTGATGCAGTGAAACACTTTCACACCTGGCATCTGCCCAGTGCAACCACCATCTACCGCTGACTGTTGAGTAAACCCCCAGAGAGCAGGTGGGAATTTATCGTGGTTTGCTCAAGGGCATCCCGACCACAAACTCATGATCTTCCTCAAATTTAGTCTGAGAACAGGCCGATTGGAGAGGAGGGATAACAGAAGCATGTTTTAACGTAGTGTAACAGATTTCTCATATTTTCTCAGTGAATCTGCTTGTACTGTAGACAAATAGTAGTAAATAAAGATGGTCGACATGACTGCTCCCCAAAGGTGAAGCCAAAGCATCGTGATCACCCCCTGGTGGTTGAAACCAAATTTAAAAGTCAGAATACATGCTCTCTAACGTTTTTTGAAGTTCTCTTTTTCTTGTAAGTGTTGTCTTAATTAATTATTTGATACCGCTGCTCCTTCCCACGATCTGCATGCTACAAATTATATCATAAGCGCAAGATGGCCGTGTTCCTATCTGGGATATTTATATAGCCTTCATTTCTGGATAGTGGAAGGAAGTGGAGAGGCATCTTCAATCCTTATAAACAGTCTATGGCTTGTGCAGTAAGTTAAAAGTGGTGCCAAGACATGTCAAATATCAATTAATACAAAATGCTGAATTCACTTGAGCCGTTGCAAATTGATATGCAAATGTATTTTACAAGGAAGGATGGTGATTTTTGAGTCACGCTGCATATCCAGTCACAGTTCCCACAGCAGCGAGGGCCTTGACTAACCACAGGATGCATGGTAGTGCCGGGGATCATGAACTGCATCTGCTGAGCCAACATGGCAGCCGCCGTCTTCTGCTGGATCAGGTTGTTGCGCCCGTTGATCTCTAGCTGGGTCTTCAGGTGAGCGGGCGGGTGGAGGTATTTGCAGTTCTCTCGCGTGCAGCGGCCCTGAGTGAACAACAGAGAGAGAGAAAGGACATTAACAGTCATGTCTGAAAAGCTGAAGTCTCTGTTCAACACAGTGAACTGTTGAGGGGCCATCTTTCCATAATAAACCTGAACTGTGAACAGGTTGCGTGTCTGCCCGAGGACGTGGCAGATACGTGGGCATTGATTTTATCACAGACTCCAAAACATCAAGTGCTTGAAGGCAGCATACATATTCATGCTTGGAGAGTGTGAAACATATAAAATGATGGGAGCTGTGCATTGAGGAACACACGTGCCCCTCATGGGGGAAGCAGGTAGCTCTCCGCATGAGTGGAAACATTGTTATGAAAGATCGTTATCAGTCTCTGACTTGCTAGTTTGTCTTGGTCCTGGCTGCACCACAGACACACTGACAAGGCACAACCATCATGGCTTATTTTGTAGTCTCAGTGGAGATGCAAATGCCGGTTTGGTGGGTGGAGATTTACTAGGACTCTGGCGGATGGAGGCGATTACAGAGGCTAATAACGACAAACACAAAGATGCAGGATGGATCCTCGCTGCAGAGAGAACTGTGAGGACGGTGGGTGGAGGAGAGAGGAGGGCTCAAGAGGGAGCGACAAAGAATACAATAGTAGGAAAATGAAGGCGGGTAGAAGAGCGGTGGAAAAGGTGTGGGCAGTGGAGTGATATGAATTAGTGCAGCGGGGAAAGGGGAGATGAGGAGAAAAGGCCGAGAATACAGAAGGAGAGGAGATGACATGGCAGGTCGTTATGAATGTGAAAGGGAAGTGAAGACAAATTAGAATGAGTCAGACTCCCCTTAACCCCCCCACCCCTTGTGACACTGAAGACCTACAGCACAGTGGCCTGATTAGTAAAGTCATACAAGGAAATAAGGAAACATGACCTCTCTATAGCCGTTTTCAGACATGAAAATGGATCCGGACGTTTTCTAGCGTCTTTCACAAGGAACATTTTAGTGAACATCTGAACGCAGATTATGCAGTCACCTGTATTATATTTGACAGGATATGGAATTCCACCTGGATGGTGCAGTGTTTGGAAAAACTGACAATGAAACAGAGATGCCAGGATCAAATAGAGCTGGAGGACATATTGATCAATATAAAGATTAAGAGAGTTATTAGAGAGGGAGCAGTCAGATGACTTGCAGTACTTTGCTTCCTGATTAACTTTAAAGTAGCCCTATGTTTTGCACTTGTTATACCAGTCCAGTAGAGGCTGGTATGACACAAGAAATGATTGGTGTAATTAATCAACATTAGTAACGACTGAATTCAATTTGGATGTGTCAGTTCAGGGTCATGGTATTGTGCAAAGTAACTGCATTTCCTAGCTATTATTGTATTTAATTGAATTTAATTCTGTCTTAATTTATTTAGTTTTTTGTGATGCATTTATTTGTCTACACAAAGTGAAGTAAATCTTAGCAAGAAATAATCTGAAGTTTGTGGAGTATTAAATGAAAGAGTCCAGGAATTCAATAAAAATGCAGTTAAGGAAAGTGTATTTACTATTAAGTTACATATGAATACTTGAGAAAAAAAAGTTTTTCGTGAGGTCACAGTGTTCTTGTGACTTCTCAGCACCAAATTCAAATATGCATTTTTGCACCAGTTGTAATAAAATCCCCCCCAGTCGTAGCTGCGATATAGCATTTGAAGAACATCCTGCCTCTGGCCATGGAGTCTGTTGCATAAGAATCTATAAGATGATGCCTTTTCCTTATTCTCACACTATTCTTACTAAACCTGTTCGACTCTATATTGGACCTGCAGGCAAACAGAGTAGAAGTTTTTAATCAAGTGCAACTCAAGGTACAAGGCCGGCTGCCAGTGTAAATAACCAATAATCTTCAAGTCTCATCAAATGAAAAATGAATAAAACCTTGCCATCCTTTTTCTCCCTGACACATATTAAAGACACTCCACACAGAGCATCAAAATCACCACTGGTAACCGATTTAAAGCTGCCGCAAAGGATTATAATTCTACAGACGCTATATGAGCTTCTTTGCAATTGTTGTTTTCACATTAATAAACACACAAACATATTGTAGGAAGTAGGGCGTTTGTCTTGTGAGACACAAATGCTGGCATCAAAGGTATCAGATAAAGGGGTTTGACATTCACAGTGACCCCAGGGCGGCTCTGTCATGATGAGACTCACGAGTCAGAGAGCGCTGACCTCCACACCCTTGGGTTAACGCTGCAGTAAGCCAATCCTACCCTCCCCCCTTCACAGTTCACATGCACAAGATCACACCTGCCCACATATATGCATACTAAATCGCACCAATCGCACAGAGCATCACCCACGCACACCGGCGCAAGCATACATGCCCGCAGATATACACACTGCTGCACACTATAGCAGATCTGTTAAGACATGTCCAGAGCGGAGTAATAACGTTGGCACAGAAAACCCACAACTTTAAAACCTCAGAGGTGACAAAACTAATTAGAGGTTCATGCGATGACAAAAGGTGGGTTTGTGCGTGTGTGTGTACATGAGAGGGAGAGAACGCGTAGGCAGGTGTAGCTGTAGGAGAAACTGTGTGGGGGTGTGTGATTCTATGTGTGAGAGAGAGAGAGAGAGAGAGAGAGAGAGAGAGAGAGAGAGAGAGAGAGGGAGAGAGCTGGTGCTGAAGCTGTGACCTGGACGGCATCCCTTGCGAAGATCACAAACACAGATGGTCACAAATATAAACGGCGACTCAACGCAACGTTGCCCACTTTATGCAGACTTTAAGTGAAGCCATGACCTCCCGTCTCGCTGCGTATTCAGCTCATCCATCGTCTGCGAGTGACACGTGCTTTTAGCAATTGCTCATCATTAGTCCCAATTTAAAGTGATGAGGTAAATGGTGGTTAAGCTACTTGGGAGAATGTTTTATAATGCAGTGTTTGAAAAGCGCAGGCCTTGGTCTCATGAAAAACCTTCCTCTTTCAGCCTGTCAGACTTTGTTTGAAAGGCCTTCTCCCCCTGATGTAGTCTTTGAATCTATCAGGGCATTGTGCCTGGTCGTCACATAAATCAGGTTTGATTTGTTTTCAATGTTCTCTCTTTTTGTCTGGTTCAGAGGTGGAAGCACATAAATGAAGTGGCTGCTGGAGCTGTCAAGGTTCTATAAATCAATTATTAAAACATGAATCATTCGGTGCAAACTTAACTTCCTAACAAGGTCTAATATGTCATATATGTGTGGACTCTTAAAAAAACTAATTCTATATATCCACTGTTACATGTATTCAAAAGAAGTGGCTATGAGTCCAGATATGTCGTTATCAAACCCTTATGACAAAGAAATGTAATTGAGACTTGATATTTTACAGTTTAGCCATAAACGTTCTTATACACAACTATGAACAAAAAACCTCAATTACAACCAAATATATAGAAGTTAAATTAATACAACCCACGTTTAAAATTGCATTGTTTATGCTGTAAAATAATTAGTCATATCAGCAAAATTAAAATTAAAGCTGATACTTATATATGTGATGTGTATTGTGAGCAACTTTTAAACGTTATTCACAGTGTCTTTCACTATCTTAGACTCCAGGAAATCTCTGAAATATAGGAGAGAGGATCTAGGTTATCTATAAATATGGCTGAGCACAATTAACTGCCTGATATCCACACAAAAGAGGTGATCCTTTCATTTGGAAGAATTTCAGCTTCCTTCAGGCTCAAGATATGAGGTCAGGTAGTCCAAAACTTTATTCTGGGATAATCCTATCCTGAAGAAAATGTTCCAGGCTGTCATCAAGTAACAACGCCGATAAAAATACAACCTCACACACACTCAATAATGATGCATTCATGGACATCAGGGAAGTGTTAAATTATTGGTACCGTGCACAGCAGTTACAAGTAATTGTAACTACGTGATGGCAATTCATAGAAATAACTGTATACTTTGGAGCGTGCTGCAATTGATACCAATGATCATCAGTGAAGGGTCCACGCTGTGGTTTGAGATAACGTGTCCCTGCCACACTTGTGGAATCAGAGCACATAAGATGAGGTAAGCTTCGAGGAGAGGCGACACAGCGAGGAGTGCTCATGACTCGTGGCTAAAGCAGTGAAGTGGACCACCGACGCAACAGTTACGCCGTTAAAAAGCAACATGCGGGGCTGAGGAACCAGATGATGGCACAGTATTGTCAGTACTGCAGACACATACACAGAGTGAGTGCACTGTGCCCTCTGTTCAAGCCACCCACTTGGAGCAGAGCAGAAATCCATTCATTGCGGGCATTGCCTCCGAGCAGCACCGTCTATGAAAAGGATCTTTGAAATCACCAAGGCACGTCAGTGAATCACGCTCCAGCCACCGGTTTGTAGCCATAGCTACGTGGTGAAATTAAACCTTTCAGCTGCTTCGCTCACATGACAGCCTCTCGTTGGAGGTTGCTGTTTTGCACTTGTGTTTGTGACATGATGCGCTACACATGTCGGGATACTGCTAATAACTGCTTTGATTTAGATTGGATAATTATCTCCTTGAGTGGCGGTGAAAAGGGGACAACAGCAGAGAGGAGATCAAACATAAATTATCAGTTGTTTTCACTTGACACATATCCTCTGCCCAAGAGATTATAAAATGAGACATTACTGCTGGCCCATTCGTAATATCCCCACAGACATCGCCAACAAGAACCTACTTATTGTGTGCCAAGTTTCCATACAGCAGTTATGTCAATAAAAATGTTTCACAGTAGGGTTGAAGGAGATAAAGGCAGATCATTTTATAAACAGATTAGGATTAAAATCTCTCTCACTCAGTTTGTTTTTAGTTCTTTTAATATATTAATTATGTGCAGACATTTTTTCTAAGGGAGAAACCTCTTAATTTTTTTCTGTGCCCTTGTTGAAGTTCTTTTTTCTGACCCTTCTTTTTTATGAGTATTCCTTGATATTGTCCAAAGCTGATATTGACACTGGTGAGTGGGCAAAATAAATAAATGAAAAACACAATAACAGAAATT